AAGATCAGGCTTTTCAAGGTTTCGTTTAATTTTTATTAACTAATTATTTGTAGTGCAAGTTTTCTTTTAATTTTCTTATTTATTTTGCGCTGCATTAAACAGTGGTAGAAAAAAGCGAGTTTATACCAAACAATCAAGGCACAAAAACACCAGCAACATTTTGCGTGTAGGCTGTAAATTCTCTAAGACTGAGTCTTGGTACTTTTACAACTGGATGATCATGAAATATTGAATCAACGAAGATGTTATGCTTACAAGCCAATAAGCACAAACTTTACTTATTAAATGATAAATCTGTAAATATTTTTTTAACTTTCTATAAGTTAATAACTAGAAAATTAAGTGCTAGCTCGAGAATGGGAATCCGGATAGTTTATTAAGAATTTAATATTCATTCAATCGAATTAACAGTAAAAAGTTATCAATAATATTTTAGTGCAAGGTCCCAATTTTGCTTTGTATATTTCCATGATTATATATCTTGTTACCACAGTTCGGCTTAATAAAAGTTTTAATTTACTTCATGTAGGTTTTACGTTTTTGTTGCTTAAAATATCTGTTATGTACGATCAACCAAAGAATATTATTCGCTTCAACCAGTGATACTCTGAAAGGTATAGTAATAAAATAAGCAACATTATAAATCCAAGACGAGTAATGAAAAAATAATAATAATATATTACACTAAAGAATAAACGTGATTCTCGCAGTAAGACCATGTTGTTTAAGTTTTTCTTATTTTTATTCTCAACACGTCTCATACATAAGCATATTAGACTGCAATATAATTCAAGTATAATTAATCAGAAAATCCGCGAAAAAGAATGCAGAATGAACTAACTTAGTAAGAAAACAAAATATACGTTACATTCCGAATTCTAAATGTTTACATAAAATTTTATCGCAAAGCCTGCCAGGAAAAAGATATCAGACGATTGCAAACGCATGGTCATCTGGTCACATGGTCATTTTATTTTCAACAAATAAAAATAAAGCCTTTAGATTGATTCTAAAAATATAAATTAAAGAAATAAAATCAAAACAAAAATATGAAAGCTTTCGGATTTTCTATTATGCCCAAAGAGGTGTTTTTTTTTAACATTTTGTGCGTTACCTTTCTTTATCATGATATTTATTAAATATCATGTTCTCCGCACTTAAACCATAAAATTCAACTCAACAGCAACATCGCAAAATAATTTTAAAATGAGTATATCTTTAGAATTTCCGATACACAGTCTCGCTCGCTGGAGATAAAAATGTTTTTTTTCCGGACAGTGTTGCCATTCCTCGCTTTGAAATCGTTTAGTTTGTTAATAAAAAATTATTTAATGTCTGACAAAATACAAATAGATAATTAAAAAAATTCCAAATTAGGGCTTCCAGATGCCCGTATTCGATGGAGGATTATCTTATTCAAAATTTGTTTTAGATACCGCTGTTTTATCACAATGCGAGAAAGCTACATACATGTATGCAGATTCTTCATTATTTAATTTCTTTAAATATAATACAGGGCTGTAATATTTGGCGGCAACAGTTTGAAAAGGGAATCAACGCAAAATGCCAAAATGAAATTAAATAGCCCTTCTGGGCTAAACACCCTTTGGCCTAATAAAATATTACTCAAGATTATGACTAATTAATGAATTTAGCACTAAATATTATATAAATAACGCGTTATTAAATTATTTAGGGTTTGCAGACAGCTAATATAAGAATCCATTATAAAAAGGACTTATTTTTAAAGTTTCAGTGTATCTAGATCACCAGTATTGCCTCACTGTTGTTCTAGAACAATTTGTTAAAAAATTATTGCTATTTTTAAAGTTTCAGTGTTATCCCTCCCTGTATCACCTGTATTTCCAGATGGCGGTCCTAACTCTTGATTTTCTTCAAAGAAAGAAACGTTCCATGTTTAATCTTTATGTGCGTTAACGCTTAAAATAATCCTCTTCCTTCTGCATTTGTTTTGATGCCGAAAGATTTTGATACAATGTATAAAATTTAAACTATATTATAATTTTTTCAAGAATTTAGACTTTTAATTTTGCATCAAAATTCTCATAATATTAAGGAAAAGTTTTTTTAATTTGTCTTTCAGTTATTGTTTTATGAAGCATTTGAGAGACTCAAAAACAATTTACATTTCGGCTTCGAGGCAATTTAGATTCAAATAACTGTTAACCAAAGTATCATGAGCAATTCACATTGAAAACAGATAATTAATTTTCTTCAAAATGTGCAATGAGAAAACAAACAAAATACAAAGTTAAATTTCTAAAGTTAGGGATACAAAATAATATTAAATATAAGCAACATTTTGTACTGAACTTTTATATTAATTAAGACACATTCTTTAATTCACATTTCTTTAATTCGTGATGTATGATATTAAAAAATCTAATGTGTACACCACATGACTTCCATGTACGGAATATTAAATTATACGAATTTTTTCTTGCATTTCATTTAACTTATTAGATTGAATTAAACCTACTTTCGCCGACAGCGCATACCACAATAGAATAAATGCATTCTTTAAAATTCACTTTGTTTACCATAGCGACACTCTGGTGCTAGGTTTACTTAACAGTATTATATTTCGTTCATATTATAACTCAGTATGCACAAAATTTATACCATTTAAAGAATTATCGAATCGTTGCCACATGTTCTATTCAAATACTATAACAAAGCCAGAACGATGTATAAAAGAAATTAAGCAAACAAAACGAAAAAGAAACAGTTTTTCACAGACGATTGAGTATTTCTCATTCAATTAATTCAGTTTTCACTTCGCGACAAGGCAAAAATACATAAAAACTCAAAATATCTGTATTAAAAATAACTAAGTAAATCTTAAATACTTATTTCCCCGAAAAAATTCCAGAAAGGATTAAGCATCATTTAATTCTCAATAATAAATGAAGGCGTTATTTTTGTGTTGCGAAGCTTAGTGTCTCTAGATTGGCAACAAATCTACAATTCTGCTGATTCAAATGTAAACAAATATGTCCGCCATGTTATTTAAAACTTAACCGCACTTAAACAGCTTTTAAATTGTTGATAATTGTACAAATATTGCTTCCAGAATTACGAAAGGCATAAAAACTTTAACCGGAAGATAAAAACAACATAATTCAATCATTTTTAAAGCAAAAAATGTACAATTTACAAACATATAAAGAGTAAAGAAACTGATATCACTGAGCCGGGTAACAGAGTGGATATATTTATATACGTTTGGCGCAGCCGATTGAAACCAAAATACGAGGTGCACAACTACATGTTGTAGTAAACTTATATACAAAATTTCAACGTTCTGAGGCTACTCGTTTTTGAGTTATGCGAGATACGTACGTACGTACGTACGTGCGTACATACAAAAGAGTCTTTTATTCTGTCCTTACGTATAGATATTACGCAAAAACATCGTTAAATTGCATTCGAAAGCGGTCAAAGTGGATATTTTCGTTGAAATATGCTGCTTGAAGCTTTTCGCGATTACAATACTTCCTTTTTACTTCGTACAAGGAAGTAAAAAAGGCTCAATAAGTTTTTTTAAATATACCATAAAGGAGTGATGTAAATATAAAGTTTTAAAAAACTTTTATGCATCAAAATTCGTATTGTCTAGAAAAACTAGACATCCAATTACATAAAGAAGTATTTATCGGAAAGCGCTTTCAGTTTGCTTCGTAACTCGTCCTTTCTATATAAACAAAATATTTGTCATTTGCTTCTTCTGTTTTCTATGGAAAAAAGGAATTTTGTTCATATTTGTTTAAATAATCGATTTAATTACTTTCGAACTGTTTCTGTATGTCATAACTATTGCTGCTTGATATATCGCTCAGTAGAAGCAAAACAAGATAAGTTAATTGACTTAAAAGAATTGAATATACTACAATCTATACAATGTAAGGAAAAAGAAAGATGAACTCTAACTAGTGACCAGGATATTGTTAATCACAATGATTAAAAAAAGTAAACTACAAATTAAATTTTTTTTAGTAATAAAACCTTGAATTTCCGTAATTTATAAGCTGAATAATTTTGCGTATCTTACAACAATCCTGTTTTTCCTGCTTTGGAGAGGTAATTAGTGTAATGTTTAATTTAAAACTAATCTAAAAAAGACAAAGTTAACTCTCACTAACAATAAACTCCGGCGAGACTAATTCAATCTGCCCGTTAGTCAAATATATGTTCATGACAATTTTTAATACACAAAATAACACTTGTCAATTTACAAAATTCTTTTGTTACCTAATTGCGCTAAAGGAAATCTCTCAGCTTCTGTTTGCTAACCTTCTAATGTGCTAATCCAGCTTTCTATTGGGTACTAATATTTGAATAACAAAGTGAAAGAACAAAAAGACGAAGGTTTAGAAAGTGAAGAAACAAAAGAAGAATTTTATCAGAAAATTAACTAACCACTCTAACAAACACGAGTTTATTGACATTTCCTTTATAAATAAATATTTCAAATCATGTCCTGATTGTACATTTCTTAAATTCGTGATGTATGAAGCCATGCATATGCTTGCGCAATTCAGTGCACCATTTCTTGAAGAACTTTTATATATTTGAATTATATTCAAAGAAAGGAGCAGACACAGAGAGTATCTAGTCTAGGTTGCAAGATAGCCAGACAGCGAATGTGGCGTGTTTTAATATGAAAGTTAGGTTCAAAGTGTTTTGACTTCACAATTTCCTTATTGTTTATTTCTTAATACCTATTAACAGTATCGATTCTCAAATCTGAATTCATTATTAGCTAAAGGCTTTATGTAAGAGTTTGCGTCATTAGCGTTAAGTAGGAACATATGACATGTATTAATTTTGAAATGATGCAGTTTAGAGATGTTTATTAGAAGCAGTTACTACTGAAAGGATACAATTTTTTAAAATATTTTTCCCCATTTTCAGTGCTATTGTGCATTTGCTTACTTATTTTGTTGCTGTATAAGGCATTTATCCGGCCTTTTTAGCATGCCTTCGTGGTGCAGTGGTCAGCACACTCGACGTGTATGCGAGAGGTCCGTGGTTCGAGTCCGGGCGAGGGCACTGCCCATTTCTTCAATCTCCTATTTTGTTAAAAAATTCTAAATGTCTCTACAGTGGCGAACGAACTAAGAAAGGTGATGTATGATGATTCTCCGCCACCAGGATTTTGCGATTGGATCCTATAACCCTAGTCGCTCTTTAAAAGGGAGAGTATATAAGATATTTCTCCCGCCTTCTTAGCATGCCTTCGTGGCCTAATGGTCAGCACGCTCGGCGCGTATTCGAGAGGTCCGTGGTTCGAGTCCCGGCGAGGGCATTGTTCATTTTTCATCTCTCCTACTTCCAAAAAATCTTAATGTCTCTACAGCTGCTATAACATACTTACATGAGCCTCAAGGTATACCTTGTGGAACAGGAGGAGTTGAAATTAGAGTTAACAAAATAAATAAATAAAGGATAGATTACCAAATTCTAACGGGATGTTAAGATGTTAAGGGACTATTGAAAAATCAAAATTAGCATTTTGCTTTTATATGCTTTTACATATATATAATTAAATAAATCACTATATAACCTATATCTGCGCGAAATTTTATATTGTTTACCTGCCCTTCTAGCATGATATGTAACTAGGGATATATCATTCGTTGACAAAGTGATTCAAAGAGCCTCTCCTGATTACGCCAAAAAGTAGCTTTGTAGTGTTTACATACCAACAGCTCTTACTGGAAATGAGCCAGAAATGGTATGTTCTCTTTTTAAGAGAGAAAATAATGTTTTTCCTTCCACATTAAAAATGAATTTTTATCATTTCCATACTTATTGAATTTGTTTAATCTAAAATTTACTTCATACATCTATATAGAAAGGAAGTTTTAGGGAATTTCAATCTAGAGATGAAAGAGATCAGTCCACGGAATTAGGTTTTAAGTCGATTTTTCTGATCACACTGCTAGTTCAATTTCTTTCTCTTTTCCCTCCATCCTCGTTAATTGCTCTTGAACACCTCTCGTTCCCATTCTTTTCCATTAAGATCATTATTAGCAAACAGTGAGCCATAAAAAAGAACCCATTCAGTTCAGTGAGCGAGAGGTTCTGATTCAATCCCATAAAAGACCATTTTTGCCTATCTTTGTCTGTAAGATGTCTGACCTTTAAGATTGGAAGTCAATGTATGAGATCTTTCCTTAAATGAAACTAAAAAGTATCTAAGATAAACTGTTACATTAAGATGAATGTCAATGACCTTGTAACATAATATAGTCTTCATTTTATAATTCAAGTTCATTCATTTTGTGTTTATGTATATTCTCTACTCCTTCAACTTTCTTTAGTGAACTAAAGAAGTTACTCATAATTCTGTAACATTTTAAAAGATCATAACAAAGTATTTAAATGATACCGAGTTTTCTTATACTGAAATAAAGGTAAAAAATCCCTTTTTATACTTATTTCACAAATGATTAAATGATGCTCTTCACAGATACAGCAAAAATCTATACACCACTAGAAAACTTTACTTGGAAACACCGAAAAGCTGCTGACGTCGTAGTTATATGAGGTGAATGATCATTTTCTTTCCAACGTGATATTTCTCCGACATATTATTTCCCAAGACCGCTTGCGATAGTTCCCGAGTCAAATTTTGCCATAAAAACGGAGAACTTTTGCCCGAATATCTGAATCAAAATCTGCAACAAAGATTGGTTGGAAACTCAAGAAGAACAGATGATACGTTAATGCCATAGCCATTCCAGTTTCTAGTTTTAAATTCGGGTTGATAATTTTTTCCGTAAAGTTTTGTAAAGATTCTTGCGTTTATTCTTTCACGTTTTACACACTTTATGATGTTTAAAATGATTTTCTCTGGTTGGCTGTAATATACTGATGTATGCTTAGAACAAAACGGAGTGTTGGTTGAGTTGGGTGATATTTTGACTAGTTCAGTAGTTGATTTAAGAAATTTTATGACAACCGAAAACTTCCTCAGCACGTGCCTTTGCTGCGCTTTTCAAAAAGGCAATAAAAACTGAAACACAGGTTTATTTTGTATCGGCGTCCCACGCAGTAGTCTCTCGATGATCACGAAGGCTCACCTACCGGCGCTGAGGTGGAGGACGTAAAGAGTTTTGAACCGCTACCGAAAGCACGAGATAAGATTTAGTCCGTGTCAAATAAAATAGCGAGCCGTCAATTGGACAGTGGCTCCCAGTGCATTTCCAAGGTTGTCGCTACCACTGGAGGTTTCAAGTTACGTGTAGCTCAAACGGTCAATGAACATAAAAAAGCTATCTGGTTGATCCTGACAGTAGTCATATGCTTAATTCAAAGATTAAGCCATCAGGTCCAAGTACATGTCCTATTAAGGCGAAGCCACGAATGGCTCATTAAATCAGTTATGGTTTCTTGGATCGTACCTTGCTACTTGAATAACTGTTGTAATTCTAAAAATACATGCGGCAGTGTTTTGACCCTGAGGAGTCGAGCGCAGTTAGACGAAAATCAGTCGGACTTCCCCGTATCTGTATTATGTGATGATTCTGTGTATCTTTAGGTTGATCGCACGAGTTCGTCCCGACGGACGTATCTTTCAAGTATCTGCGTTATCAGCTATCGAAAATAAATTACTCGCCTACCATGGTCGCAACGAGGGACGAGGAATCTGGGTTCGATACCAGACAGTGAGCCTGAGAAACGGCTACCACATCCTAAGATGGCAACAGGCGTGTAAATAACTCACTCCCAGAACGGGAAAGTGTGACGAAAAATAACAATACGGGACTCTTTTAAGACCCCGTAATTGAGCAAACGTATGAATAACTCTGTATTATATGAATCAGTAAAGTTTACGTGAATAAAAATGTTATTATTATGCATAACTGAGAATACGCGAGTATAATTTAATCATAGATCTATCCTTAAATGTCATTTAAATTCCAAATATCAGATGCTTCAATAATCAAGTACTGCAGTTTTATTACGATATTGATCTCACTAAAATCTTATGTATGATTAACAGAAACAGAAAATTGAAAACCGAGTAAGTTACCGAAGGGTAAATAAACTGTGTAAGTAAACACAGACACTCGTTTAATTACGTTTATTGAACAGTCAGTTCGGATATTGCCTTATTTGCAGAATGAAAAAAAAATCAAACTTCGATATCTTTAATTGAAAATTCATGAAAATAAATGAATTCTGATGTTAAAACTGGATCCAAGAAAAATGAAAGCGTTCTGCTTGCAGGGCAGATGATTATTTATCTGTCCTATGATATTTCTATATTAGCTGATACATATTAAGCAGCTACACATTCTCTTTAATATTCTCTAAGACTATCACTAAGTAAACAAACAGACAAAAAGAAAGCTGTATATTTGAAAATAGCCTTGCTGACAAGTTCTGCGCAGGAACAAGAAAGTAAAACGCTTAGTAGTATTCTTTATTAGTAAATTACCAACCTATATATACAGTTTCTGGTATAAAAGTGATTTAAACCTAAAAGTAGCAAGAAATAGTATATTTAAGTGCAAAATATTTATTTGTTCAGCAAATCAATCTTTCAGTTACTGTGAATAAGAGTAATTAATACACAAAATAAATCTTTCGATTATTGATTGGTAACAAACTTCAGTAGAATACATTAGGTTTGCAAACAAACTATTATCGGAAAGATTCAGTTGTCGAAAGTTGATAACCAGTCAGTTGATTATCGAAAGTTCACTGTTGATGTTCCAAAATGTTAAAATAATTTCAAACTCTAAAATCAATAGAAATCATAAAAGCGAAAGGAAACTGTAATGGTATCTTGGTACACAGATTTTAGTCGAATGCCCGAAACGATGTTTAATGGTTTTACAAGCCGGCTATAGTGTAAGAATTACTGCCTCCAGAAATTGAAAGTAAATATATATAAAATCTTTATTTAAACTGCGTTGTTCAAATTGAAAAATCCAAATGGTAGGGAAAAAATTGTTTTATGATATTATTTCCCTGTAAATTATCACTTCATCTAAATTTGTGCTGCTATTCAACAAAGAAAAAAATAGAAAAGATTTAATTCTTCAAGGTTTAAGTCTGCATTTATTTCCCTAAATTGCTTGAGTACAAGGATATATAATGAGATATTCTTTTAGTAAGAAGTAATGTAATACGATAATGTATTCATTTTGTAAAACAAAAGCTGTTTTCAAAAATGAAAGTCCAGCAGAACCACTCTTCAATGCGATATTTAGACTAATTAATTGCTAACTTGCACTCTACAATTCGTAAATCTGAAAGAGAAAAAAATATTATTACGCGTTCATTAACTTTCGACATTCCGCCGTACAGAAGAGGGTTAACTTCCAAAATGCGCACAGGTCTTCAATAATTACTTGCTTTTAATTTAATTTCTTTTTCAAAGTTTGAAATTTTGTTATTCATGATTTAATTCACGTCCCCGTAAAACATATTTAACAATTTACATTCAAGTTACCTTAAAACAATTTTCGGAATTAAACTTCCTACCTCTGGGTTCACTCTTTTTAGATACTTCTACTAAAATTAATATTAGAAGATAATATAACCAATATTTCTTTAGTAAATAAATTAATATATATATATATATATGCATACATAGGACAAAATGCTAAAACAAAACGCCTCTCGAACAAAAATACAGAAATAATTTGGTGAGTGAAACATTTAAAATATTTGTCCTTATTTTCGTACTAAAGAGGCGTTTTAATAAAATTATCCTGACCCCTTTCTCTGTTATTCAGGTGCACAGCAATACATAATACATCACATGTCTATTCCTCAAATATTGAAACACTGGTATACACGCAAAAGATCCTTTTATTTTTATTTTTATGTAATCTATTTGCTTTTAATATGAGGTTCCGCATTTTTACCTTTGAATTAATATTCATCACAGTTTTCTCTTAGTAAAATTATTAACTTAATTGTTCGTTAAGATTTTATTTTACTTGCACTGTCTTATTTTTTTCGAGTAATTATCTAATTTTATTTACAATAGATTTCGCAACTATATATTTGCATTTATTTAATAATTTTAC